TCAAATCCACCAAAAAGAAGTTTTCATGATGTCAATTGAAAATCCAATTATCAAGCGTGACTAACGAACATAGAGTTGGGAAACTGGACGGAGGGGTCACCCACTTGAAGGGAAGCCTCCTTATAGATGGAGCACGAGAGACATACAGGAGCCTTCAACAACCTCAAGGTAATTGAGCACTCACCTAAAATCCATCTGTTTTACAATACTCAAGCATTTTAAAACCCCTCTGTTATTACTCGCCACATAGGTCAAGCCTTGGTGCTTAGATTCCCTCCTCGCTCATGACATAATTTGTGGTGATTAGTGAATGAATCATCCCAATGGTGAGTCTATATTGTCACCTCAATAAAGGCAGTAATAAAAGTCGGCCCAAATTTATTAAAAGTACCTCTCCAAAGTTCTCAGGGTACTCATTTTTAAATTAAGCATATGTAAAGCGTATAGTGGAATATTACACAAAACACTTTTAAGTAAAGTGATTCTACTCGCATTAGATAAGAAAATTTTTTTCCAATCACCTATTTTACCTTTAATTTTCTCCACATAAACATCCATTTGGATTTTTTTTCTGCTTCTCGTAAGGATATCAACACTTATATATCTTAAGGGAAGAGTAGCATTGTGGCAACCCAAGAGATTAGCAATCCAACCTCTCCCTCTTCACCCCTTACCAATGTAAAAAAAGCATTTAGATTTATTAAACACCAAGCTTAAAGAGCCAGTAAAAGTATCTAGAGCATCACAAAGTAGTTTAACAGCAGCCTTCCAAGCATTAGAGAAAATTATGGCCTCATCAGCATACACCTAGTGACTTGCCATGACTTTAGATTTATGAGAGTATTGGGCAAAGGGATGTCCCACCTGAACTTTATTAATTAAACTGGAAAAGTAATCAATTTCAATAATGAAAATAGTAGGAGATAGAGGGTCCCTTTGTTTTATACCCCTTTTAGCAGAGAAGAAACCATGAGTAGAGCCATTCAGTATAACACTATAATTGTTGCATTCAAGCCATTTCTTAATCAGCATACAAAATTGCCTCAAAAAGCCTCTGCAATGGAAGATATTTAATATAAAGTTCCAATCAATAGTATCATAAGTTTTCCTGATATCTAGCTTGAGGACCAGATTCCCCCCTCTACATTTCTTGTCCAAATCCTCTATCATTTCTTATGGTAACAAAATATTATCAGAAATATCCCTATCTTTAACAAAGGCAGATTGTTGATGGGAAATAATAATATATAGATGTGTTTGTAATTTAGCAATAATAAGCTTGCTTATCACCTTGGATATTATAGAAGTTAAACAATTAGGTCGAAATTGGTCCCAATTAGAATTCCCATTACTTTTGGGGATGAGCTCAATTGTGGAGGACAAAAAAAAAACTTACCTGGGTTTTCAACAAGAAAGAAACTCTAAATGACCTTTATAGCCTCATTTTTAATGATACTCCAACACTTAAATAAAAATCAGTTGTAAAATCATTAGGTCCATCAGCTCTATTTTTATCTATACCATTAAATGTCATAAATATTTCCTCTTCAAATGGGATTGAGCAAAGGTTTAAATTAGATATATATGCCTTCTCATCAACAAAAGGGTCCTCATCAATAGGGGATACCTGCATATCAAAATCAAACAGATTGGTAAAAATGTGAAGTTTGTAAACGCTACAGATTCATTTCAATCTACTAAAAGAGTGAGGGTCAGACAACCTTTAATATTCCACACCAAGAAATTAAGCATGAGAGCCCAAACCACCCCTCATAGCAGACTAAGTGAGGGCGTGATGTTTGCCACCATAAGAATAATAACATCAGCATTTATGATATTCCCATCACTTAGATGTAGCGTTTCAGAATATTTCTTTTTCTTCTTATTTGACTTCTGTATGATCCATTCATCCTCCAAACAATTGAAAGCAGCCTCCACCCTAAAAACAGGACCCTCTCCCCCACCATAGCCCACCACACCCTCAACCTCCAACACAGGCAAAACCTCCTCCCTAGAAACAGCACCATACACTCCACAACAACCCCAGCAGTCACCTCCACCAAACCCTCAATAGCACCCCCATCTAGAGGCCCACCCACAACACCAACAACAAAATCCCCCTCCAAACCAACATACTCCTCCCCAGTATCACCCCCCTTCAAACCAACATACTCCTCCCCAGCATCACCCCCCACCTCAGTAACCAACCCCTGAAAGACCCTCCTCGCCTCCAAAATGCCAAGAGCCACCACACCTGCCACCAGAGACAACCACCCCTGCAAGATTAACCACAGCAAAACCATCATTCAAAGCCACATTCCCATCCTTCCCTCCAAGAGAGGTGTTAGAAATTCCTCTATTTTTTTAATTATGGATGAAGATGATAACGTTGTCCACATGAGTGACCAAACATTCTGCACTTAGTACATTACAAAGGGTGCTTTTTTACAATAACCCGCTGCAAATAACCCTCGTGTGCAGAGCCAATCCATACCTCTTTAGAAACGTCAAGAGTAATATCCCTTTCAACTAAAACACTAGCTTCCAAGGATCTAGATAAGGTAGAAGTGGGACAGACCATCTTTAATGGCCTCCCAAAGATAGTTGCAAGTGAGAACAGTATTTCATGGTTTAACAAATGAAATTTTAAGCCAGGGAAGCTAATCCAAACTGGAATAATAGGAGATTCAGTCTGTGGGTCAAAATCCACCAACTACTTAAAAATCCTCATAGCTCTATTTTAAATCCTCATGATCCTCCTAGTAAATAACCTTGTGTAGTCTTCCTCCCTAGATAGTTGAATCAGAATGTGTCTCCCGTCTAAGAGACCATTTTTTCACTCTCCCACCAAGTTCAACAATGCAAGTTATTTCCTAATTATCTCAAGTTTTGGGTGGTCATAAAGAAATGTCCCAACGAACGCTAGACAACATGAAAAAGCAAGGATAGAATTGTCATTATCAGAAATAAAAATAGCAGCTTTATCATTTTTCTTGCTTTTTTTATGAAGTTGTGGTCTCCACCTAAACAAAGGAAATCATAGAGCGCGCGGGGGAAAAGCATAGTATTATTAACCCCATTTCTACTGTCACCAGCCAAGACTTCAGCAAATGACCTCGCCATTAATGCAACCACCTACCAAAACCGTCATTGAATCGCAAATACTCTAGCAGAGCTCAGCGCCTCCATCCTTAGACATAATAAATAAATAAATATATATA